GAGGCTGTGCCTGGCCCCCCTCCCTCCCAACATTTAACAAAGCCCCCCCCCCAAAAAAAAAACACAGCTTTCCCAAGATGCCTTTCTCTGTAACCCTGCCTGATTTTTCATTTAATATGCCATTTGTTCCACGTTTCAGATTATGCCTCTTTTGAGTTTACTGGTTATTCTCAGTGGTGTTTTTATTTTAAAATAAAATAACTGTACAGCCAGTTTGAAGCGGGTTTAGATACCTTGACAGGACTGTCGTTGTAAAGCCAGGCAAGGAAAGCAGTTGAGTTCCAGTAAGTATCCGGAGCCTCCCATTCTCCATCAGACCAGATCAGATCCGGCTTGTACCTTCGATGCATATTAAGAAAATGGGAAAATTGAGTAATGAGTTACATCCTCATTATTGGGTTTTTTTTACTGAGAAGACCCACCAGCGTCTGGTCTCTTCCATGTTAAATAAGTTGAGTGACCAGACTATGTCTTGTTTTAAAGAAAAATCATACTTCACTGAACATTATTCTTCTTTAAAACAAGACACACGCTATCCATGCACCTTGTTTCACTATCAGCGAATGCAGTGGTGGTTGAAGGCTCCAAAATCAAGCAGGGAACTCTATGCAGCCCACAGGTTGGCCACCCTTTTGCAATTCAAACTTACCAAAATAAGTTCTAGCTGTGGAAGGGACGGTGTGGCCGGCTAGCTGGACAGCTGTGATCAGTCAGTTGTGACTGCCACATGCTAGTAGTCCCCAAACAAGCCCCAGCACCTCTCTGTAGGCTCTTAAAATATTGGGTTGGCTACAGAAGCAGGAGATTGTCCCTACAAAGCCACAATTCTATGTATGCTTCCCCATAAGACCCAATTTATGCAACATGATTCATCTCTGAAAAAGTATGGGTAAGACACCAAGGAAGAGACAGAGGACCAATAATTAGAGATGGGCACGAATCGCTAGTTCGGAAGTTCGTGCCAGTTCGTTTACCAACTAAACAAGTGTTTGGCAGTTCATAGTCCCACCTCCTCTGGTGGGTACCCATTCAGAGGTAGTACCATAGCTTCCCTACCGTAGGCAGGGCTGGGAACCACTGAACACCTGTCTGACCAGTAAACGAACCGGTGGCTCATGCCCATCTCTACTTATGATCCCGGTTACTGGCTTGGCTACTAAGGGAAGCCAAAATTTGTAAAACACAAATTACAAAATTTGTAAATTTACAAAAAAAATTACAAAATTTGTAAAACACAGTACTGACAGCACTAGAGGAGGAAGGCTCAAGTGGCTTGCCCAGCTCTCTGGCCTTCCAATGGTAGCAAAATTAAAGCAGTCCAAAATGATGT